AAAAGACGTAAAGACTTTTGTCCAAGAAGCTCACAAACTATATTTAGACTGAGGTGGTGAGTTAGGTTAACAAACAGAAGTGGGACAGTAGGTTATAGAAGGACAAGGGTTACAGAAATAAGATTAAATGCAGTCCATGCAGTATACTCTAATACACTTCCTTATGCCCTACTCTAGACAGATGTTGCAGAGAACTGGCCAAAGATTAGCTCTCAGGTGCAGGGAACTGTCTTTGTGTTGTTTGGTTTTATGGTGCCTAGTTCAATGGGACACTAATCCCCATTTGAGGTTCCTGAGTCCTATAGCAATACAAATAATACAGACAAAACGGTAGCAATAATGTCCAGCTCCTTTCTGAGTACTGTGCCCTTTCTTTTGGTGGAGCCTAACCTAAGAAAAAGGAAGGACTATGTAGCTCATAGGGATGTAGCCATTATTTTGTGTGTTCATTCTTACCTTTTGAAGTTTTCTCATCCCTTTCAGAAAGGATGTTTCAACTTCCAACTAAATTTGATATTAACCCTGCCCTTCTCCCTGTTCAATACTTATTGATATCTGAAATGTTTGGGTCTGACTATGTAGAGGTAGAAATACCAGAGAAGCGTATCATATAATATCTGGGCATAGTTTGGAATCTAGCTTCTGATAAGGAAGTGAGAACAGGACAGGTTAATTTTTTTATGAGAAGACAGTAGTTCTCAAGAGTAAATTCCCAGAAACTCAGATCCCTGACCAAAGGTTTTTGCTTCTGATGCCTGAAGTGAAGCTCAGGTTTGGAACTGTTGTTTCCTGGCCTTCTGAGCTCCAGTAGGTCTAGGTCTATTACCGCCCAGCAAAGCTTGCCAGAGTCAAGAAGGTCAGTAGCTTTGTGGGCTATGAAATGTAGATCTGCTCCATCAGGTTTAGTGTGTGCAGTTGGCTCCAGTACGCTGGTCTTTGGAATTTAAGAATAACCTGGAAAAGTCAAAGTGTGTTTAGAGCTTAGTTTTACATGTGGTCTGAGTCCAGCATTCATGCCTCAAACATGCTTCTAACATATTTTGGCCACATTGTGAGGTGTTAAAGTTTAGCTGGAAAAGAGTTTAAACACTGCTGCTTTGCTAGTTTGGGCCCCACAGTGGCCTTCATTCTCTGCGCTTTTACCTGTTATTTCATCCTTTAAGTCCAACTCCCTCCAGAAGCCTGAGCTCTCATGCAGCTGTTAATTCTTATGCGTCCAAGTAATGTGGATTTGGGTCCAGAAGACATGGTCAGTTTGTCTAATTAATTTCCTGTCACTATAGCCAAGGCAGAAACTTAAGGTACAGTAACTCATTTTATAGTCACTCTATCTGGCACTGAATATAGATTGGAAAAATTCCTTTCTTGAGCAAGATGTGTGGTAATATTGTTATGCCATATTAAAGCACTCTTTAAAAATAAATTAGATTCTCATGAGTGCAAGAGACTAGTATCCCCTACCACAGCCAGACCCAACACAGGCAAGTCTTCTCATTACCCAGGACCGCTAAATTCTTCCATGAAGAGGAAAGCCAGCCAAAAAAGTTGTACCCTACTCTTTTTTTTTTTTTTTTTTTTTTTTTCTCTTTTTTTTTTTTTTTGGTGACCCCTAAAGGATTTGCTGTTTGGTCTTCAGAAAAGCTATGTAAAGCGTTAGCTGTGGGCAGAAGAACAGATTAGGAATGGCACCTGTTCATCAGGGCATATGTCCCCATGGCAAACCAAGCTGGTGTATCAAAAAAGAGTCCCAAATATTTAGGGTATAAATACTCGCTCTGCTTGTAAGTGCTGTTTTTCTTCTAGGTCTTCCTCTCAGCTTCCAAAAGCTGCCCCTTAAATGATGCTTGTGAATGGAAAAAATTATGCACTTTCAAATTCTCTCCTGGGGAATGAGGGCTCATATCTCTCCTTCTCATACTGATACTGTAATTTCACACTTTTTTTTTTTTTGCTAGCAGTTGAGTCTCTGCTTGTTATATGACATGCATGTTTCATTTTCATTAGGGCTTTTATAGTGTGAGAGGCCTGATGAGCAAGGGAAAGGCAAGTGGTTGGGTGCCTCCTAAGGGGAAGCAGTTGCAAGAGGTGTCAGGCTCTCAGGTGTCCCAGACAGTGTTGCTTTTGTCCTCCGTGCTGCTGCCCTCCCTTAGATGATGCAGGGTTTTGCTGACACTGAAGGCTACAGTGAGACCACAGCTATTGCAAAACAATATTTACTTATGGGGGGAAGAAACAGGGCTGGAAAGTGGAAGGCATCAATCAGAAATACTCTCCTTTGTCTTGCTGTCAGGATGAGACCAGGGCATAGAGAACCTATGGATGATTATCTGAGCTCTTGCTTAGACAAAAAGAAGTCTAATGTGGTGCCTGTTGAACAGAAACTTAAACTAGACTAGATAGGGATCAGGCTCTCCGATGACTTATGATTCACAGCAGCTAGGAACTAGTCCATTGTATCTGAATAATGTCATGTCCTCACTGTGGTTAATTGCCACCCAATTATCAAAACTTTCTGGACTGATCATCATCTCAGGAGAGTTCATACATTATTAGTCTTGTCTTTCACCAGGAGAAGGGCAAGAATTGGAACCCTTTGTGGGGGAGAAGATGGGAATGCTACTCACTGCAATTCTCATCTTGATTTAACATTGCCAAATGTTTAACTTGTCAGAGAATTGACAGTTACATGAAGGCTATTTCCTTCCATGCCCACTGATGGGATGAGCTCTGAGGCACTTGTATAATGGCTGCTGGTGCTAAACGGTTTACTTGGAGAGGGTTGTGCAGTCTGAATCTGATAACTGAGCCCTGCCGTGGTCTTCAGTGTCTGTGTTTTAATTGCTTATGGAACTGGTCATATATATGAAGAAAACAGAATTAAAATAATTTAGCTGTAAAAAAATTTTTTTTTGTATTAGAAGCCACATCAGGCCTATAAGGTTGTTATGTAGCAAAATTAAGCTAGGTATATCTGTGGATAAGCATATGCAGCTTAGGTTTCTACCAAAGGATACTTTCCTCTGGATATGTATTACTGATAACTGTGCAGCATCAGAAGTGTTAAGCAGGTTCTCTGAGCATGACAAAAAACTGATAGCTGTAAGTAATGGCCTATAAACTCTGTTTCTTGAAATGCAGCCCACACTGTGTGATGCCATCAAACTTCCTTTATGTACTCTCCCAATTCTTTTCCTTCTGCATTCCCACCTTCCTGCCCCTTGGCATTCATTCACGCTGACATGTTATTAAAGTTGTCTCTGAAGCTGGCCCAAGGAGCTGTACATATTATTTACATCACAACAGAGTCTGGGGGCATCAGACAGGACTTCGGATCTGTTGTACCAGTTGCTATTCAGTCCTTAAGTACAAAGATAGTCCAGCCCAAAGAGATTTCTATCTTGAATTTTAACTGGTAGACAGAGGGAGATGATTGTTTTGCTGCATGTGTCAGACTTTCCATTCAAGCTACTGTGAGTAGTAATCTTTAGGAAAACCTCCTTCTCTGTTGCAGGGGTATCATACAAGACCTCTACATTGAGATAATCTGAGTTCATCACTAACTGGTGGTGCAGAAGTCACAGCACCCAACCAGTGGCATGTAACACATACCGGGTAGAATTAAAGTGAACACAAAGATTTCACAGATTCATTGGGAATCCAATCTAATGCTTGTATTCAGATCATGTGTGTATTTCCACCTCAAAAGAAAAGAAAACAATCGCCCCAAGTCCCTCAGAATCAACCAGATTTTTTATGGCTTTTCCCTGGAAAAAACCCTTTAAACCATTTAAAACCGTGTTAGAAAGTCAGCCTGTAAGTACAAAAAACACTGGAGACCATCCTATGCTAATCTGAGTTTAGCAAAACACATAGCATTACCAAGTGTAATTATACAGTCCAGCTATTAGTAGCTTTACCTCTGGCTGTTCTCCATCCTGCTTTCAAGCTACATCCTTTCCTTTCATCTTATTCTACACCACATGAAACAGGTGAGCTGTTCCCTTTATATAGCTCAGGGCTCCAGTCACATGGCTCTCAAAGCTTGGTATCTTCATTTAATCAGTTAAAAGAATCGAAATAATCAGAGATCTTTCATGAACTCCATGCCAAAATTTAATTCTGTTAAGCATTCAAAGCTTACCAAGTTCAAAAAAAAATCAAGAAAAAAATTAATTAATTTTTCCTAGGAATATCTACTTTGAAAAGCTGCCCTGGGGGGTACATTTGTAGTTTAGAATATCTCTCACAAATCACCCATACATCACTGCTAGCAAGTTCCACAAAAAGAGAACTCCAATGCTTTTTATTGTCAAGGCAACACTGTGGTTTCTGCATCCCTTTTTTTCATGCATAGATAGTAACAGCATCCACTTTTTATCTGACTGAATTTGAATTTTTATCTTGACGTAACTGCTACTGATTTCTTACCGAAAAGTACAGGTTGTTTAGTGTTATCTTCACCAATAACAACTTTTGACAGCAAAGAGATGGTGATACTTCCCCTGAAGTCTGTATTTGGTACCTCACCGCTGGATTAGATGACAGCACCAACAAGTTAAACTGGATAGAGCAGTGATTTTCAGTTTTTGAAATCCTTGAATGCATGGGTGGGACTACTGAATTATTTTTAAGGGGTATGTGAAAGGTAACTCAGATAAGGCAGACTCATGACAATAGGCTTAAATTGGCTTGAAAGGAGTGTGAAGTGCCCCTGAAAAGTGATGTGGGGTCTGCAAACTGGAAAACATTAGAGCCCTGGGGCTACACTGTCTGTTCTGATTTAGAAGCTTGGGTCCCTGTTATCTGTTGTGCCATTCTTTCTCCAGCATAAGATTAACTTCACATTCTCACATATGGGTATCTCGGGACCTCCTCCCACCAAGGCCATCTGACCCCGGAGAGGGCAGATACTGCCCTGAAAGGCATACAGCTGTTCTGTTTCTCTCCATAGTATGTTTTTCTTTATAGCATCAACTGGCTGGATAGTTGTTGGTAGGCAAGTGAATGTCATGACACATCACAGGTTCCAGGATTAAGTCTCTGAGAAGCTGCAACAGTACCTTGTGGGTAAGTCAAATGTTTCCTGACCTTCCTATATTCCCATGAACAGAACTAGGGAGACATTGAGATTCTATCAAAATCTGTACTGCATTTAGCAGTAGAGGAGGCTTAAAATGTCTGTTAGTATGAAAATAAATAAAATTGGGGTGGAGGAGTTTGATTGTGAGACAAAGAGCTGTATTTTTCAGACAAGTAGTTTTGCAGTGAGTTCATCTGCTCTGTGAAGTCAGCTTCCTGACATGGGGGTCACTTTTGTGTATGTTTGCCAAAGACCTCTGGAGATCATGTGGTCTAAATTCTTGCTCTGGACAGGGTAGATTTTAAAGTTAGGTCAGGTTGCTCAAGCTCTGAGTATCTCCATGGATGGAGATTCCATCCTCCAGACAGCCTTTCCAACGGTGAAGTTTTTTACTTTCATGGTATTTTTCTTCCCTTATATCTCATTGGAATTTCTCTTGTGGCAGCTTGTGTCTGTCACTCCCCTCCTCTCACTGTGCACTTCCAAGCAGAGCCTGGCCCTGCCTTCCCCATCCTGTCCCATTTGGTAGTTGCAGACTGCAGTATGAACCCCCTTTGTCCGTCTCTTCCTCAGGCTGAACAGCCCAGCTCGATCTGCCTCCCCTCCTACACTGTGTGCTCCAGCCCTCCACTGGACTCACTCTAGAATGTTCTCATCTGTCTTGTACCAGGGAGCCAAGGCAGGACACAGCATTCCCAGTGCAATCTCGTAAGTGCTGAATATGGAGGAATAATCACTTCCCTCAACCTGCTGGCTACATGCTTGCTGAAACAGCCCAGTGTTTGGGGTTGAATCACAAGGAGGAGGTGGAGGTAAGCATGGGTTAAGGATAGATATGCTGTAGGGCACTGAGGTAACACTGCTACACACACTCCCATTGCAAGTAGGATGGCATGGTTTCGGCAAACAGGGTGTCTGCTCACAGTTTTCCACCCCACCCTGCTGCTCAGACAGCCGAGGTGCTCGTGAATCACTGTAATTCCAACAGAACGTAGTTTGCTTTCAATTGCCACGGCGGTGAGCTGCAGCAGTCACAGAGATGATTCACTAAGGGCTTAGCCTCCTAGGCCCAGGAGTTGGGGAGGCCACCAGCTGTAGTGCCAGACATTGCAACCTCATGTGCGTATGAGGGGTCTCACATGCACTGTGGGAGTTGGTGGGATTCAAATTAAAATCTCAGTGATTATTCCTTCCCATCCTTTTCTGCTGTTTCTCTGTGTTCACTGGGGAAACTGTCAGGGAACATGCTAACTGATTCGTTTGCTGCTTTGTTATTGGATTTGGCTGTAGAACTGTTGTGGGGAATTGTGTGGAGAGGAGTTGTTCCTCTTCTTCTAGCTCAGCTTAGGAAATATGGCAAGGTCACAGAAGAGCGGACAAATTTCTTTGTCAAGCAGTACACAGATTTCATATGGGTCATCACAGGAACTCCAACCTTAACGCTACCACCACCAACAGTCTTACAAGAGCTGTGAACTATTTGGCAGAAAACTGGCAGTTTTGTAACCAAAATCCAATTTTGCAGGAAAGTTAGCTTTGTGCCTTTTTTTTTTGGATACTGTTTTGCTGTTGTGAAAAGCAATACATATGGAAACCCATTAGAGCCTAAGGCTATTGTTGATATAGTCTTGACTCATTCTTGGCATTGTGTCTATATCTTCCTTCGATAGCTCAGCTGGTAGAGCGGAGGACTGTAGGCTGCCTGTAGAAAGTAATCCTTAGGTCGCTGGTTCAATTCCGGCTCGAAGGAAAGATTTTGGGGTTTTGTTGTGGTTTCTGTCTTTCACTTATTTCTGGAATTTACAGCTTTGCAGAGGTGCCCTTTCCAACCACTTGCCACTTGAGACACTGAAAAATCTAGTCTACTTAAAACACACCACTTTCAAGGATTTAATTTTGACTACTCACCTTGTGTGCTGCAGCTGATTCTTACGGCAGTGGTGCTTTGACCTTTGCCACCTCTCTATCTAATTAGTAGATGCCCTTCCTATGAGCTTCTCTTCTCCAGGGGCTCAACACCTTCTACAGACCCTTGATAGCTAAAGCAAAACCACAATGCAGAGCTTGCAGAGCCTCTTTTAGCTGAGTTGGGTGTGGAAAATGGGAGGAGGTCCAGTTACTGGGTTCTCCTTGTTGCTGGCTTCACCCGTTTTCCTATCCTGTTCTTGCATTTTGGAGTTTTGAGGGCAAGCGGGGACCAAGAGATGGGGAAGAAAAACTTGCCATGAGGACAGGAACACCATGATCATTCAGGTCTAGATATTTGTCTGAAACAGCCACTACATGAAACTATAATCGTTGGCCTCATGCGAGGGTTGTGAATACTACTGTGCACACTGCTCTGAGGTGTATCGTTTCCACGCAGTGTCCATTTCAGTGAAGAATTGTATAGGTTGGGGCTGGTTACAAAGGGAATGGGTAAGAAAGAGGTAGTAGAACTGTATGAAAGGAGATCACAGGTTAGCGAGGTATTCTAAGAACTCATTCATACAGAAATCTTTCAGATTCATCAGAATCTGTCAGAGTAGAAAACGGGGCACTGTGATATGTCAAACAAAATTTTGTTTCACACAGGAAACTGACTCATGGAACTCACTTTCAGAAGACACTATCAGCTCTGTAAGAAGCTTTATTAAAGAAAAGATTAGAGGTTTTTAGATGTTTACATTAAATGAGATGACATTAGGGATCCAAATCCCAAAGCTCATGCAAACCTTCTCATGCAAAGCATCTCCTCATGCAAAACACAGTGCTAAGCCAAACAAAGATAGGAGAAGGAGGTGGCAACTTTCTTCAGTTGCTTACCTTTCACTGTGTTATGGTTCTATTAGTATTGCTTAATGAGAAGTATTTGCTAAAAGTTGGAGTCAAATGCATCAAGGAACCAAGACTGAGCTAGAATGAGTAATCAAGTGATTATATGTAATTCCAGTATTTTAAAAGATTTTTTTTTTTGCTAATTAGTATCAGATCAATGACCATCGATCATAGTAGAACACCAGTTTTCTTTGTCCTTCCTAATCCAGTTGCATTAATTCCTCTTCAGCCTGCATAGCAGTACACACTTACAACCTCATAACCATAATGGGTTTTCAGCACGGGGAGGCACAGGACAGGAGGGAGGGAGTTCTGCCTCTCCTCTCAGCAACACAACCAGTTCTCCAGGCCCTGGGGGGTGGGCAGGCCATGCATTTTTTTTGCTCTGTAGGTCCTCCCACAGCAGGATGGGTGTTGTAAAAGCAAGGGTAGGAAAGGCAAGCAGCCTTCTTTGCAGTCCTGCTAGGACTCCCAGGGAGAAGGATGCACAGCAGCAGCATCTCCATGGGAATCTGGCAGTTGCTTTAGACAAGGAGGAGGAGAGGGGTATAAGCCTGGGTGATGCCACAGGAGGAAATCAGGTGTATTTGTCACCAGCCTGGGTAACAAATCTGTCCTATGGTGTCCAATACAGATTTCCTCCTTGCAGTGTGCCTTTTATGGTCTTGGTGAGCAATAAGACAAAGTAGGAGCCTTTCTAAATGAGTAAATACATGACTCATGCATTTAATTGCTTCAATAAGCCTGAAGCTTTTGATTCAAAATCTGCCAATAATCATGAAAAGTAAATGCTTGCGCTCATATCAGAGAAGGGACTGATGCTTTCCCTGCGACTGGGGAATGGTGGTGACTGATGAACAGACTGACTGCCTCACAGGTATTTGGCTGATGTGCAGATCTTTGCTGACTTAATATTTCAGTGTGGGTTGCACAAGGTGATTGAAACAAGGATGGAGGAGGAAAGGATTAATTAAAAATAAGTCCTCATCACAAATGGTGTTTGTTCTGTAGTTGGAAAGAGTGAGTTGTTGCAACATGGGTTCACCCTCATATTACTGCACTCTAGTGGGTAGCTGGGTTTTGGTGGACCACCTGATGTGGTTAGCTTCTGTTATCCTGTGGCTGTTTCATGTCATGCAATTTCAGCTACCAGAACTGCCCCATACTGACACACTGGCAACATTGACACTGTCTTTCTCTGCAATGACATCTGCACGAGGTAATTTCATAAAAGTTCCAGCAAATGTAGCCACTAAGCCAGAAATATTAATTTAAATAAAGTTTTGGTATTTTTCTTGCACATGTGAGTTGAACTTCAGACAGCAAAGGTAGGAAGTACTTAAAAATTTTTATAGTCTTCTGTGTTTGGGAGCGTCAGCCTTCTCTTTAATTTTGAATGTTTTCTCTTGCAGCCAAACTCTGGTTCATCAGACATTATGAAGGTTGCCATGCCCTTGTCTGAGGAGTGGAACCCCATGGACCAAACCTCTGAAACAAAGATGTAACCAGCTGGGGACATAGTAGACCAGCAGTTGTAAGTTCCTATTAGACAAGATAATGTTTGTTATCTGGGATCTCCCTTTCCAAAATACTTTTTTCCTCTTCTTGTCTCATCTCTTGTCCCAAAACAAACTTTTAACCTATACCCTATCTTAGAAGCAGCATACTGCCTGGTGAAGAAATTGAAGCTCATAAAGTTGGTGTAAATATATTGCAAAATATTTGTACTTTCTCCTTAAAGGAAGAGCAGTGCTCACATTCCCATAGGACAGCTTGCTGAGTCGTATCCAGTTGCCTGTGCCTATCTTCCACCTTCACTAAGCAGCAAGTGCTATGTGGTTAGTGATCGGTCTTGTCTGTGGTCATTCTGAAGGCAACTCTTTTTTAAGAAATAAAAGAGCAATTTTGGCACTGGCATAACTCCAAATTCTCAGTTGTACTTGCTTTGAATGACTTAGTATATCTTGGGTTTTGTTTTGATTTTCCAATAGAAATGAATCCCAGCCTCACTCTAGAAACCTGATTTTACCTGGTTGCATCAAAACCATATTGTAGGGAATGCTTCTTCTGATGCGTGAAACATGAAACAACTGAGCAATGCAGGGCCTGCCTAAGGAAATTTGGTTAACCTTACAGAAACTTCAGAAAAGCTGGCTAATCTCCAATTTTTAAATAATTTGTGTTGCATGCTCCAGTATTGCATTTCAGCCCAGAAATGTAGTGTTGCAGCAATGGTAGGACTGAAGACCTAACTTTGTACTGAGCCCACTGCTTTCCTTTGAGCTCTGTAAATTTTTTCTGCATCCATTGCTCTCTTGTAGCCACCTGTTGTGTCTGCTCATGCAGATTTAGATAAAGCTCTTTGAGCAGGGTCCTATCTTTGTAAAGTTTTTCATGATGGCAAGGAAAACATGGTCTTAATTCCTGTCTGGAGTAATAATACAAATAAATAGAAACAACTGCACAGTTCCCTTACAGCTCTAGAGGTCGAATCGTGGCAATTAAAATAATGTGCAATTAAGGACATCTTGAAAAGGCTTTTAAAAGCAGGAAGCAAGTCAAGATGCTTTGCTGATGATTTGCTAGTTTGTAGAAATTGCACGTGGTTGCAAATTGGTTTGCTTTTACCATAAAGTAATACTATTCTCCAGTGTGTGTTTGGCTGAATTTATGAAAAACATCTCGGCATGGCTGGAAATGACCAACAGCAGTTGCTGTCTTTACTTGCCCCCACTAGATCAGGTAGATTCACACCAAACTGAACAACTGTTTGCACATTTCCTCAGGCCTTCTTAACCACCCCTCTACCTATCAATTTTTCTTCTTCCTATTGTAGTTGTTATAATCAGGCCTTGATAAGAATTGCTGCCAGAGACATCCAATCAGTCCCATGTTATCATCTGGAAATGATTAGAGTCCTCAGGACAGATTGAAGCCATTTTGATAGCATTGATTAGTTCCTTATTTCAAGTTGTGCCATTTCAACATTCAATGTTTTAAAATTCTTGCCTCATTCACAAGGATACTTTTTTTAACATTGTAAATAACAAAATGTATTTTGTTGTGTGAATCCAAATAAGCTTTGAAGATTGTGGCTTTGTAATTTGAAAGTCATCTGGAGAGTGTATACTCTCTTGCCAGCTTTAATCAATGCACGATAATCAATTATCATATCAAAGTGTTCAATTACTCCTTAGTAATGTGGTGCTGTAGCTGTTTGGCTTAATTTCTTAGAAGATTCTCAGTGCTCTCGCTGCAGCATTGGGGTTACTTAGCTGACTGATTAAAGATGTCTGCTGTGAAAATGAAGCTGGTACTATTTGAACACCAGACTCCTCACAGAAAGCAATGTCAGATGCTTCTTCAACACCACAAACCACTTCTTTCTATCTAATTTGTGAGTTGGTCGTACTGTGTTGCCAGTTCCTAAGTACTCCTAAGAAGGGAGTCTTTTTCTGTCTGTGTGCTTTTACATTTAGGAGGGATGCTAAGAGTCCTGGCGTCTTTGTTGAATCTGGAGAGGTTTCAGCATTCCTTTTTCCTGCAGCACAGTACTCTTCCATTTCCCAGGGATTATGGGAGGAAAGTTACTGCTGACTTTTGGGTCAGTACATTTCATGTTTCTTTGAAGCCTGAGGAAAAGAAATGTGAACAGGTAAAGCATGATTGCTGCTTAAGTCTCTCAAACCTTATAGTGGCCTGAGAAGATGTTTTGTGAATGAAGGGTCTCTTCAAATTGAGGTGTTGGTACTCCATGTTGCCCTTTTTAGAGTATCTGGGGCTAAAAAAACCCCAACAACCTAATAATTTTAATGTCAACATAAGGCTTTTCTGGGATCACTCTGTTTCGAATGACACACAATCTTTAGTGTAGCCATCCTCCTCTCCCTGCGACAAGGAGAGGTACTAATGTCTCTATTTCATGTAACATTGTTAGTCCCTAAGACTGCTGTCAAGTGATGTGTCCGAAAAGGCTGCAGCAGAGCAGGAAAAATCATCTGAGCCTTCAGAGGCTTTGGCTGCCCTGTGTTCTGACCACTCCTCCTCACTTTTGGTAAACTGTTGACTTAACCCTCCAAGAAACTAGCAACAATTTCCTTTGATTTCAGTTTGCAGCAGCTTTGCAGTCTGAATGATTGTCTTGGTTCCTTCTCCCAGAAAGACATCAAACTATCAGTGGATAAAACTCTAGGAGAATATTGCTGTATTAAATCTTGGAGCATTGCCACAACGTTTTCCAGCACTGACTCCATGCCAGGAGAGCCAAGTGGTATGCACTGGAAGGGAGAGCTCCTTCTGCTGTGGTTAAATGGGGAAGGAGAGTGGTGGCAATCAAGAAGGTCTGCTGCAGGAGCCCTGCTGAAAGGTGCTTCCACCCACCCACCAGCTGTGGTGTGCTATTGCTTTCCTGCAGGAAGCCATGTGCATGTGAACAGGCCAGTGCTCAGTCCTGTGTGAGAAATGAAACAGCACATGTACTGAGGAAGAAAGGCAGTGAAAAAAGCAGAGAGGACACGAAGCTGTATTTGAGCTATGTTTCATCATGCTGAAGGAAGGAGAGCATGAGAGGCTCTGTGGTGAGAAGGTCTGTAAAAACATAGCAATTATCCTCATCTCAGCTTGCCTATTGAGAAATAATCAAACTTGTGATGAGTCTTGTGACCTGTCAGACCTTTTAACTGAACTGCAGCTGAAGATATTCACTATGAAAGGGTATAGGCTGCTTCTTATTGTTGATTTTTAACCATGAGAGTTCCTAAGGGAAATAGCATATAGTAATAACATTTAATGGTCTGCTGATGAGCATCTGGTGCGGGGTGTTTTTTTCTTTAAAATTGCATTAAAACTAAAACTGCAGTATTGCACTGAGTCCTCATTTCCTGTCAGGAGAGGAATTATGATGCTCTATTGATTGTCAAAGCTGTTTCCCATCCTGAATGTGTGGTTAGTGGACAGAACTTCTCTTGCAGACACAGACATGCCCTACCACCCCCCTCAGTTCTGAAAGTTTTTTCTTTCTAAATTATTCATATTGAAACCACTGATCCTCAAAATTTAAAACAGAGAAGGTATAAAATACGCTCATGTATGCCTTTGCATTAATTTATGTGCTATCACATTGAATAAAAGGAAATAGCAAGTTAAGCATGTTCAAGAAGCCACATGATGAGTATAATTGATGCATTCAGCCTATAGAACATACATATAATAGTCCATTGTAGTTATGGGATTGACCAGCCAATATTTTTGCCTTGGAGATCATTACTTAAGCAGATGACTCTTGACCCTTTTCTTTTAGTGCTTCGAGAATTTTGCCAGAAAGTACCCTTTTGAGCCAGTCAGCCTTTAACATCTCTCTCTGAGCAGCCTCAATTTTTCATTTAACTTACTTCTGAAAGTTAATCTGCTTTTCATCCCAAGGATCTTTATGAGAAATAAATTGGAGCCTTTTCAAAAATGCAATTGTAAGAGCTTCTTCCGTAGTAGTTAAAAGCTTGTCACAATCTAGCAACAATGTATGCGTTGTAAAATAGTGTATTTAACAAAAAATCAAAAATAAAAGGGCAACAGCAATGTTGAAGCGACATGCTGGGTGTTTCTGTACAGAAGCTCGCTTACCTGTGCAGTCCTTGGAAGTATAGGAAATGTGATTCATAGCAGTGGATTGGAGAGCAAAGAAACTTACTCTTGGAAAGACAAAGATCTAATTTGACAGAACTCTGCAGTTACCATTGGTCCTCATCCCCCCAAGGTGAACAATGGGCAGAACAAAAAGAAAGGCTGAAAGCCTAAATGAGAAAGAAAACGGAAGGGAAGGCAAGACAAGGCAGAGTGTTGGTTGAGACCTTGAAGATTGAACTAGTACATAAAACTGGGTCGTCCCTTTCCAATGGTGTTGGGAAAAAAGCAAAAGGGATACTAGTGAAGAGAGCAGGCTCCACTGGGGAGAGCCTGCACTGGCTGATGCATGCTTCTCCTGGGGAAGAGGCATTTTTCTCATCAACTACCCCCTTACAGGGGGACTGCAGGTAGAATTCTGGAATGAATTATACAGAAATCCCATATCCTCCTATAAAACAGAATAAAAAGCCTAATGTCAAGGTGAATGATAAGGGATCAATGGTGATTTGAGAATGAAAGTGACTTGGAGCCCTGCTACCCCCACCCCAGTAATGACTGGTGAAAGGCCCTCTGAAATATGGCTTCACTGAAGCCAAGGTGCCAACAGGTTCCTTCCCATTTGCTTTCTTTCTGATGAGGCTTTCTCTGCTCAGTGCACATGACGATACCTACTTTAGTAAAAAAACCTACACAAATGATGGCTGCTGCTTCTTTCCTAGGAAAGACAGACCTTGGCAAATAACTACTTCTTACTCCTAACATCTGTATGACTTATTATTTATAGAGACTTACAATAAGAATGGGAATGATTTTCTTGACCTGGTAAGTTACAGCTTAAACCAATAAAAGAACAAAGTAAGTTGTAAGGGGGATGTAAGAAGAGGACATAGGAAAGGGTTTTGTTTAAAGTCACATGCACAACTAAGATGTATCCAGAGGAAAGAGATAAAATACCCCAGATTAATGACTGTGATGTTCTGCTGGCTTATTTCTTTCTAAAGGCTTTACCCTCTGTGGACACAGAGCTGTATAAAAGATGAAGTAGTTGTACTCCACATTTTAGTCATGCCAGTAATGATGGCAACATCTCTGTTACAGACTCATGTTCTCCAAGGAAAGCTATCCTCCTGCTAGTATTTCCAAGGGAAAAATTAATAGGGTTCACTTCTCTGTG